GGGGCACAGCACTGCGGCCAGGTGGGGCTGGAATATCTCCAGAGAAGGAGACTCCACAGCCTCCCTGGGCAGCCTGGGCCAGGGCTCCAGCACCCTCAGAGGGAAGAAGTTCTTCCTCGGGTTCAGCTGGAACAGCTTCCCCTCCCATATGGAGCGGGAGCTGGGTGATGGCTTTTACACTCAGCCGCTTTCCGGGGTAAATGTGTTTTCTAAAAACACATGTTTTCTAAACACACGTTTTTGGGAGCGGTGCGCTGGTGCCTGCCATGCTGCTCCTTGTTGCCACTTGCCCCGACGCCCCGTCGTTGCGGGCATCGCGTCGCTGGAAGGCGGTGGTCCCGCCGCGGGTCATGTCGCGAGCGTCGCGTCGTGACACTGTCCACGTAAAGCTGCTTCCCACCCACGAGTTCTGCAGAACGGCTTGGCTTACGCAGAGGCGTTCGCTGTGTGAGTTTGTTCTGCTCTGGGGACGGATAGCTTCCAGGGGGAAAAGTTTATTTTAGAAGCTTTTAAAAGGCAGGCAATTAGGGACGAAGCTGTCCAGCAGCCTCTGCGCCGGCAGAGCCAGGCGTCGGGCGCTGCTCGTGGTCCGTTTTTCTGTCCCGGCGCGGAGTCCGCCCGGCTGGAGGGAAGGCAGAGCGCCGAGCGCGGGCAGGCTGCTGGCGTCGCCTGGTTTGGAGGCAAAACCGTATTCTACATATTTGTTAAACCAACCAGCGCAGGGCATTGCAGGAGGTTTTGTGTGGATGCTGTTCATACTTACACTGAATATGTAATTCAAAAATCTCATTGCACTTTTCATAATTATTTTAATTTTTCTTTCGGGGGTGTGACATATTTACAGATTGCAAGTTAAAATACATTCGTAGAGTTGAGTGCACGGGTAACGTACTTTCTCCTACAGTGGCGTTATTTTTTCTGCACAAATACCATATTCACCAGCATTTTTTTTCCAAGGAACATTTCATCTCTTTCTTTCTTTCTTCAGATCAGGAACGTTGAAACCAACCAGTGCTTGGACAACATGGGCCGCAAGGAAAATGAAAAAGTGGGCATTTTCAACTGCCACGGCATGGGAGGAAATCAGGTAAAATAAAGAAAAAAAACAAAAAAACCCCCAAAAATAAGAAAACCCAGTATGATTTGTGCAAGAACTGCTTCGGGCTGCTGCGGGGTGACCGCAGGCATGACGGCGGATTCGCTCGAAGTCCTCAGTGCAGCTCACACGTGGACACGTGGGCTCACTGTAAAAGAAGCAACGGCAGCGTAGTGAACGTGTTCGTGGGAGCTGCGGAAGGTCGGAGGTCTCGAGCTGCAGGCTTTCGGAGTGCTCAGAAAGCCATTTTCTCAAGGAGCAGCTGCAGATTTTGAGAACACAGCAGTACGTATCCACGGGTCCAGTGAAGTATCCCAGTGAATATACAGAATATATTCCAGCTGTTCAGAATGCAGAAAAATGTACTTAAAGTTTCAGATGCTAACATTAGGAAATTCAATTATCAATTCCAGTTTATTTTTAGTGTTGGGGGGAAAAAATCTTTTCTAAAATGAAACGGCAAAGAATCTATGTGATTTGTGGCTGAATTCATAGAATCATCGAATCACAGCATGGTTTGGGTTGGAAGGGACCTTACAGACCATCCGGTTCCAACCATCCTGCCAT